TATTCACCAAGCACACTCCACGAAATATATAGTAACGGGTGTACTTTTCTATGCGTTTTAAAAGGTTCTGTGAATCATTAACTGAACATTAGCATAAGGCATTCCAATAATGTTGATTGGCGCGTTAAGTTGCGATCTTTTATCTAAATACCTCTCGTAAATAATTAGAATAGGATCTGGACGGAAAAGATGTTAACCGTATAAGGTTTAAAATACTTTATATAGCATAAGAAATGAAAACTGTGGTATGTCGCAAACTGTTGTCATGCCAAAATTATCTGTATAATTGTTGCTATCGAATGCTCTTGAGGGTGCAAAGACTACTAAAACCTGGTCTCGAGTAGGAATGCAGGCTTCCTCCTTGCGTGCAAGCCGAGGGAATGCTGTAAAATGCTACGATTTCATGTGGCGGTATTATTACCCAAAACGCTGCACTGAATATAAATATTCTAGCGTCTTAGCAAAGCTGCTGATTAGATCAAAACACGTTTCTTAAAAGATATCTTATCCGTGACAGAAGCTCACAAAAATCTTGCTAGCTTACGGAGCAAAGTCCAGCAAATTTGACAACCAGGTTTGCCGAACTGTGGTCCGCCACGCAATGCGACCAATTTCGCGCACCAAGTCCAGTGACAAAGAAGTCTGTGGCTTCGACCATCTACAAAAATCTGGGCAAAAAAACAACGATCAAATGCCACTTGACTCCTCGATCCTCGACTTCATTGAACGCAAAGGCCATCTGACATGTGGCGGCCCATCTTGGCACATGTGAACCATTAAATATGCTTCACTGGATAGAGTGACGATACGGTAAAACACGTATATACGGCAAAACACGCCAAACATTATGAGCAGCGCCACGTCCTTAAGCTTCGGAAAAAACGACTTCTGGGCTGCTCCGCCCAAGGCTCTCTTTGCGTCAGGACAGCAGGCGAAACCGGAATCATCGCGAGCGCGGCACGTATCGGTAAACTTTTTACGATATAGATGCACTGGTCATTGCCATTTCGTTGCTTAAAGCCGAATTGATTGCCATGAGAAGCCAGCTGTAGCGGAGCCCTTGAAGGTAGAATTGACGATTGGAAATCATCTCATATCCTTTTACACTAACCTGCCTATGACGCAAGCGAGTGCAATGGAACACAATTGTCATTCGATGACATTCATCGGCTTTGTCTTTAACAGCAGAAACTAGTGCAGCATCCATCATATGGTGTTCGGGACAAACCCTGCATTGACGTGATTGTTAAGAATACGTTTAGACATACAAGCAAGAGTTTTGGAGCACACTTCAAGCGCTAAGAAAATTTAACCCACACCACTGTCTCGGTTTGTGCCAAGATCCTGCAGAACCAGGATCCGCCTCTTTCGAGGATCTAACAGCAACATTGAAAGTCAGGGAGGTCCAGGGGTTGATCTCGAGCGTTCTAGCGCAGTCTGGCACAGGGGCACAGGGCACAGGGCACAGGGACACAGGGCCAGGGGCACAGGGCACGGGGCACAAGGCACAGGGGACAGGGCACAGGGGTACAGGGTACAGTGGTACAGGGCACAGGGCACAGGGCACTGGGCACGGGGCACAGGGCACGGGGGCACAGGGGCACAGGGGCACAGGGCACAGGGGTACAGGGCGCATGGCAGGATGCCGCAATAGAGAAAGCACAGCTTACACAAATGCATTGAAACACACGTTTAACGCGCCGTAGGCACGCGCAAAGTGAGGTGTATCGTAATACGGCATCGCATGTCCTCGATCCTGTCTTTATGCGCCTACCTGTAATTTAACTGTTAAGCTTCGCCACGTACATAACAATATGCCCCATAGATTTGATAAGGGGCACGTGCACCCGGGTACGCGTGTATGTGTGCACGCCTCTGGTCTGGCAGATGGCTCACTGGCGGCTCAGTGATTTGTCCTGCATCTTCACGTGATCATGTCAGTGTAGGACCGCGCCTCGCGGTAGATCCTGGACACCAAAAGCATGAATGCTACGCCAGCCTCGTTTCCTGGCAACAAGAATCTCGTGCGCTGCTTCTTCCGCACCACATTCTTCCGCCACCGCCGAAACCGTAGCCGGCCAAATCACATATGTCCACGCTACCCTGTCTCGTCTGCAACCAACTGCATTAGGTTCTAACGAGACACTCCACTTCCCGACGGCATAATGGCGCACCGTATCGGAAAGCAAACACAGCTCTATAGCATTTAAAGTCTGATTGACACAGATCAAAGATCTTTTCCCACGGATCAGTGTCCCCTCTGGCGTAACATTCACGTAACCGACCAGGGTCGCTTCCCAGCCGGTCAGTGTCCCCTGGCGTAACATTCCGTAAACCGATCAGGGATCGCTTCCCAGCCGGTCAGTGTCACCTGGTGGAGCATTCACGTAAACCGATCAGGGATCGCTCCCAGCGGGTCAGTGTCCCCTCTGATGCAACATTCACGTAAACCGATCAGGGATCGTTCCCCAGCCGGTCAGTGTCACCTCTTGCGGAACATTCACCAAACCGATCAGTGGTCGTTCCCGCCGGTCAGTGTCACCTCTGATGGAACATTCCCGTATACCGACCAGGGATCATTTCCCAACCGGTCAGTGTCGCCTCTGGTGGAACATTCCCTCAAACCGATCAGGGATCATTTCCCAACCGGTCAGTGTCACCTCTGATGGATTCCCGTAAACCGATCAGGGATCGTTTCCAACCGCAGTGTCACCTCTGGTGAAACATTCCCGCAACCGATCAGGATCATTTCCCAACTGGTCAGTGTCACCTATGATGGAACATTCACGTAAACCGATCAGGATCGTTTCCCAACCGGTCAGTGTCACCTCTAGTGGAACATTCCCGCAAACCGATCAGGGATCATTTCCCAACCGTCAGTGTCATCTCTGGTGTAACATTCAGGTGAACCCAAGTACGCACGCTTCCTGTCTGGAAAGCTCTAAAACATATTTCCACGCCGGGCAGTGATTGCGTGGAACTGGCTACCTCAAGCGCTGCGTCACAATTAGACCACCATACCATACCTCACCGTTGTGTCGTGCACCCTCAGCCATAGATCAAGCCATTTGGCAATTTTATTGTCTACTCCATCTCTGAAAAACGACGATCATTTACAGAGATGGGCTATGCGCATGAAGTCTTCTTATTCGTAGGGGTATCCATTGTCAGCTATTGCAAATATCAGATTTTGTGGCGATCCATGTCATAGTCTCAAAGCATGAGGTTGTCAATCTGCCTTTTTGGGCGTTTTTTGTGTCAGTTGACCCATCCCATCGCGTCGGCATGTTCGGAAAGGAAAGGTCACTGAATATGGCACATTGATCGGTAGAGGTTTTGTGACGATCGGCTGATGGTTTTTACTTGCTGACCTTTCACCCGCCCCCAAGTTCACCATAGTCTGGAAAGTCGAGCGAGTAGCCAAACCACATGGAATGGTGAAGGGTTCGGAGTGATCAGTCCCATCGGCTCAGAGCGAGGCGATGCCAACAAGTTCCGTCGGTCGTTTTATCTCTGCTAGTCTAGGGTCGGAATGGCCGACTATAGCACATCGTGTGGTGGGATTTTAGCCATTATTGATACCAAAAGTCCGTAATAAACATTCAGGATGTGCATTAAGCAAAGTTTGAGCGTTTCATACATGAGTGGGACTAAAAAACATGTTTCATGTGCATGTTCATGTTCATTTTATCCACGAATCATTCAACAAGTGGTTTATTGTCTGGTTCCGTGAAGTTCAATATTAGTATGAACTCAATATTAGAACACGACAGCAACGCGACCACATTCGCACACTATCAACCATCCCGTCGCTCACACAACTTCGTCAAAAGCAAAATCATCAAACGTCAAAACATGTTACACAATGATGAGCAGGCGATGCTACACAACAGGACCGACTTTATCGTCCAGTCTCGTGTGAGCTCCTCGCGGGTGCGGGCGACGTTGATGGTCGGCGGCAGGCGGCTCCAGGATGAAGCCGCGCGGTGCGAAAGGGCCGCGTGCCACCGAGAGGCGAAGAGCTGGCAGATGAAGGGCGCCGGCCGCTGCGAGGCACTCTGACATACAGCGATACATGGGGTGAACAGGGACCAAATCGACACCGGAGCCCGCGAGGCACTCTGACATACAGCGATACATGGGGTGAACAGGGACCAAATCGACACCGGGCCCGCTAGGCACTCTGACATACAGCGTATACATGGGGTGAACAGGACCAAATCGACACCGGGGCCCGCGAGGCACTCTGACATACAGCGATACATGGTGAACAGGGACCAAATCGACACCGGGGCCCGCGAGGCACTCTGACATACAGCGATACTTGGGGCGAACAGGGACCAGATCGACACCGGGGCCCGCGAGTCATTAAAGGGAGTGTCCCACCTTTCGGGGCATATTTCAAAGCACCATTAGCACCAAAGGATACCAATTTTAAGTGAGTAGTTACGCAAAGCGTAACAGCGTTGCAAAAAGTAGGTTGGACAAGCACAGGGCATATTTTAGGAACTTTTTCTGGAAAGCATGATGAATAACGAGGGGAGGCGAGACAGAGATAGTGGCTGTTATCCGCTCTTAATTCACACAAAATGTTTTGGAAATAATCGATATCATGGCTGCTATGCTAGATACACATCTACTCTCACTAGTGCACAATCCTGCCCACTCGCCTTCTGCATGCCATTCGGCAAATAAGCATATCCAGCTTCCCAAGATTATTCCTCCATTTCAACACGGTCTTTCCTGGGGAGGTGAAATTCCACGAGCGGGTAGGTATTTTGGGTCAGTGAGGAGGC